TCAACTCCCAGAATTCTCCAGCCAGCAGAGCTGGCTGGAGAATTCTGGGAGTTGAAGTCCACCAGTCTTAAAGTTGCCAAGTTTGGGAACCACTGATCTAGTCCAACATATACACACAAACACACATATATACACAAATGTCTTATTTTGGGGGAAACCCAGCAGCCCTCTAGCTGAGCCCGTTGTGGGTGTGGAGGGACCAACACTAAAGGGGGTGGGGAGGGGGGTGAACAGTGACCGGAGGGTTCTGGGGTTCAGCTCAGGTGCCAAGCTGGGTCTTGGGAGGAGGAGGAGGAGGAAGAGGAGGGGACCCCTCCTGCACCCACAAGGCCCCGTCCTCAGACCTTGGGGAGATCTTGGTCCTCCTCACTGACCCCTGGACGCTGTGCAGACTGGCTCCCTTCCCCTTTGGGCCCAGGGGGTCAGCCCGGACATCCCGAAGTGAAGCCCTCGGCTGCGGGAACTCCAGGAGGAAGCCAGCTCTCCTAGGCCGGGCCTTGCCTTCAACCGCGGCTCAATCTCCAGGCGGCCTAACTCGGTGGGTTCCAACGTGCTTGAGGGAGTCCTCGAATTACGACCTCAACCGAGCCCAACATTTCTGGGTCTGAGCTTTGCCCCGTTCTGTCTTGCCGCGTTGGTTAAGCGAACCGCACGCAGTGGTTCATAACCCAGTCGTTAAGCGAATCCGGCTTCCCCCCCCGGTGACTGGGCATGCCAGAAGGTCGCAAAAGGGAATCCCAGGGACACTGGAACCTGGCGACCGTCGTTAAGGCGAGTCAGTGGCCAAGCGTCTGACTTAGGAGCCCGTAACCCTGTGCCTTCAAAGAGTGAAGGCCTCCTTTTGTGGTGCTGTTTTAACTCCGAGCGGCCGCTAAGTAAGTCAAGGACTACAAGTCCCATCCTTTAAGTAGCATGCTTACTTACAGGAGGTTGCCCACAAAAGCTCCACTTACAACCGTTCCGTTTAGTGACTGTTCAAAGTTACAATGGCACTGGGGAGCAATTTTTCCTTTGTTGCAACGTTCGAAGCATCCCGGAGGTCAAAATTCGCATTCTTGGCAAGCGCCTCGTATTTACGACGGTCCCGGGGGGGTATCACGTGATCCCCTTTTGCGACCGGAGCGAAGTTAACAGGGAAGCCAGATCCGCTTAACAACCAGTTGACAAGTGCGGTGATCCGCTTAACGGGGGCAAGAAAACGTTGCAAAACGGGGCAAGGCCTCAATTAAGAAATGTCTCGCTTACCAACAAAAAGGGCTCAATTGTGGTTGTTAAGTTGAGGACTTCCTGTATCTAAAGGGGCTGCCCCAAAGAACCGGGGGGGGGGTGGAGGCGTTCCGTTTATTTTCCAACGGCGGGATAAGAAAACGATGGAAACTAAAACAAGGAGAGAAGCAACTTAGAATTAAGGATAAGTTTCCTAACCGGGAGGACAATTCACCAGTGGAACCGCTTGCCACTAGAGGTTGTGGGTGCTCCGTTTAAACACGTGACCGGGGGGATGGGGGGTGGGCGTTGTCCGAAATGGTCATAGCATCTCCTGCCTGAGCAGGGGGTTCGACTAGAAGACCTCCAAGGTCCCCACCCCGCCCGCCATCACCAGTCCACTTCGCTTGAATGCTTCTTCAAAGAACAATNTCCTAGCCTCTCTTCTTTCTTTCTTTCTTTCTTTCTTTCTTTCTTTCTTTCTTTCTTTCTTTCTTTCTTTCCTTCCTTCTTTCTTTCCTGGCTTCCCTTTCTCTCCTTGCTCCCTCCCTCCCTCCCTTCCTTTCTCTCTCCTCCCTTCCTTCCTAACTTCTTAGCTTCTCTTTTCTCCTTCCTTCTTTCCTAGCTTCCCTTTCTTTCCTTCTTTCTTTCCTTCTTTCTCTCCTCCCTCCCTTCCTTTTTTTCTCCTCTTTCCCTCCCTCCCTTCCCCTCTCTTGAAACCCCCTTTTCAAGCCCGCACCCCAACTACTGCAAATGCCACCCATCTCTATCTGGTCCTCCCGGGGGGACCTCAATCACTGCCAGCCCTCCCCCCCCAAAATAGTCTTCATGTCCTGCCCCCCTTCCCTCTCTCTCTCTCTCTCCATCCCCTTTTGAATCTTGCACCCCAACTTCTGCAAAGCCCAACGCGTCGGGCTTCCCCATCCTTTGCCAGCAAGAGGCGGGACGGATTTGCGCGGAAGAGACACGCAGGTTGCAAAAAAAAGAAAGGGGGGGGGGCGGCGTTTGCTCGCTTGCGGGTCGCACCAAACCCCGCTTGGGTCTTCCCGGGGGTCTCAAAGGTCGTGTGGACGGAGGGGCACCCAGTGCCAATCCAAACCATCCCCACCCTCCAGCGCTCCCCCGGATCGTCTGGATGGGAAGCGCGGTTTGGGGGGTTGCGGGAGGGTCTTTCTCTCTAGCCCCCCTACCCAAAATAGAAGCACGCCCTCGCCCGGAGCCCGCCCGGGACGGGACCGCGAGGCTCTCACCGGCCATGGGGGCTCCTTGCCCTGCGCTCCGCAGTCCCAGCCTCCCAGCTGGCCCGGCAGGGGATGATGGACCCAGGAGGAGGAGGAGGAGGAGGATGGGGGAGGAGGAAGCCGCGCCCGCCCCGTCCCGTCGGGGCGGCTGGGACGGCGCGGCCGCCTCCCCCAGGAAGCCAGTGGGTGGCTGGCGCTTCCCTCCCTCTCGCCCGGGCGGGCAGGAAAAGACGCCGCGGCGGCCAAGCAGCAGTAGCGGCGGCAGCGGCAGCGCAGGAGGGACGGAGGGAGCCATCGCGCAGCCCCTCGGCCGCTCTGGATGGGGGCGCTGCGGGTGGATCTCCCTCCCTCCCTTCTTTCTCACCTTCCCTCCTTCCTCTTTTCTTTCCCCTTCTCACCTTCCCTCCTTTTCTTTCTTCCTTTTTTCCCTTTCTCACCTTCCTTCGTCTTTTCTTTCTTTCCCTTTCCTTTCTTCCTTCTTTCTCACCTTCCCTCCTTCCTCTTCTTTCCCTTTCCTTCCTCTTTTCTTTCTTTCCTTCTTCCTTCTTTCCCTTTCTCACCTTCCCTCCTTCCTTTTCTTTCTTCCTTTTTTCCCTTTCTCACCTTCCTTCGTCTTTTCTTTCTTTCCTTTTCCTTTCTTCCTTCTTTCTCACCTTCCCTCCTTCCTCTTCTTTCCCTTTCNGGGGGGGGGGGTCGTCCGTCCAGCTTTCAAAAAGAATAAATAATAATAATTCACTTTTGAAGTCCGCTGAGATACATTCTGCCTTAAAGGCCTCCAGATGTTGCAACATGTGGCTCGAGAAGGAAGTTTATCACAAGCACGCTGAATGTTGACATGCAAAAAAACCGAAGTTAAAATTAAAAAACGAAGGGCCCGAAAAGCAGCAGATTAAAAAAAAATGGGGGGGGGGAGATGAAAATTAAAATCGTGGATTTTAGGGGGGTGAATTTGCAGACGGGCAAGATCTGGGTGAGAATTCTGCTTTTTTTAAAAAAAGAAGGGGGTGTTTTAAGGTTTTAAACGGGGGGGGGCTCGCTTGATTGCAAGAAGCTGCTTTCCTCCTCTGTTTTGCAC